TCTTGCATCTGAAGAAGTGAGGTTTTTACCCACGAAAGCTTATGCTCCCAATACTTCTGTTAGTCTTAAAGGTGCCACAGGACCCTCTGTTGCTTTTCACCATGGGGTGAAATCTTGATGCTGTAGAACTCCGATTTATGTTAGGGGGGCATGATATACATCCATGGTATCTAGCCTTAAGTTTCTTCCTCTAGGATGCTAGCTAATAAGTTGCTGGGGTGACATTTTCTGAGTGTTTCATGCATAATACTTCTGTACCTTTTAATTCATACTGCACAAAGAATCTGCTGTACTGGAGCATTAGCTCTGGATTTAGTCAGGCCTGGGAATAGTGGGAGTAAGTATAGTGTCTTGTACCAGTAGTCATGTTAAAACCTAATGAGGGTCCTAATATGATTTGAAGTTTAGGGTGGTTGATGAGAGTCAAGATTACGTATGAATATTTAATGGTGAGATGTCAAAATATTTGAAATGTCATATTTGAGAATCAATAATAAAAAAGTATGAGGTGAATATAATACTCAGAGAGAGCCCTTTTCCTTGCACTAGAAATGTTCTTTTGTCAAATTTTACTTCAAGAGAAATATCACAGAGTTTAGCTTTGATTGATGCAGAAGAGATTTATTTAATAGATTAAAACCAATATATTTCTCCATTTGGTAAACCATTGTAAAGTTTAAACTCCGAAAAGCGATCATACTAAAGTCTGTCATAAAATTCACATTTATTGGTCACATAAAAACAGTCCATAGTGTAGAAATTATGGAAGAGTTTATTGAAGAAGCTTGTGAGTAGAGTTATGTTTTACAATTTAGTCTGAAGCTCAAGGGCTACATTCTGGTTTGATGTCAGAATTGCCTAAAAAATCTGTAGTTTGGCAAATTTATATAGATTTGTGAAGTCCTTTAGAAAGGATTTTATAGATTAGTGCATAAGTAAAGAAGCTTTTGCTACAGATCCAATTACACATACGAACAGAAGGAGAGGTGCTATCTACATTATTATTGTTTGCCATCCATACTTTGGTACCTTTAAAACCGAAATGATGTAGATCTTTATTCTTAGTAATGGTTGTTTGCCTTTTATTTTGTAATTCTGTTAAGGAGCACAGTTGTAACTGAAGAACTTGTCCTTGGGAGTCAAAGGAAAAATGCAGGTTAATTTCTGTACAATATGTGACCTTAGCCCTTACACATAGATGGCTGAATGTCCCCTCTATTTTTGGACCACTTTGCTAAAAATTCTCCTAGTAATTATTTCTTCTTGTCATATAAAGAGCAGTTTATGCGAGTCCCTGGAAATTGTGTTTATTAGATGAATAATGCATCTATAGCTCTCTCCAGTGAAACTCTGATTATTTACTTATTCCATTGTGCTCCTTCCCAAAGGCTGTAAATCAGGATTGGCACAACATTTTGTCAGGCAGTGTACAAACAAAGTATAGGAAGAGACAGTCCCTAACCCTTGAGAGCTTGGGATCTAATGAACACAGAAACAAAAAATGGGTGGGAGGAAAGGGATATAACATACAGATAAATGATCGAGGTGATGATCATTATGTGAATGTGTTTTATTAATGGTGAGTGAGGGGAAAATGGTGAGGGGGGTATATAAACAAAGATAATAGGAGAAAAGGAAAGGGAAGGTGAACACTGAAGAGAGGAAAGAATGGAGTGGAGCAGGGCAGGTTGGGAGGGCTGCCAGAGAAGGGACTGCGATGAGTGGAGGAAGCGAGGAGGAGAGGGAGATCAGAAAATCAACAAACAGTACAAAACGTCCAGAATCCATAATGTAAAATGTACTCTGCTGTCACCACTGGTTCTGGGAGCTGTGTAGGTCTGGAAATGCGGGTGGGCCCCAACATGGTCTCTTCCCTGTCTTGGATCTTCATTGCTGCCCTCTATCCCCAGTGACTGGCTCAACCTTAAGAAGCACCTGCCTGTCCTCCTCCTACTCCATATAACTGTGTGGAAAGGGTTCTTGGGAATCAATGCCTGATTAAGTCCTAGTTGAATGAAGTAATGTTGGGGATCCAGCTGAGGCTCTCCCATCCTCCAGCTTCTGTTGTGCTGGAGTCTCTGTTCCTAGGGGCTTTCAGCTCTTTCTCTTGGAGATGCTGGGTTATTGTGACCTGGTGCCTTGGGATGGTGCGGGTGAGCATTTACACTCTGCTGGAGTTCTGGTCTAGGGGAGGTGAACAAGGGGTTCTATCTTGGTCTTTATCCAGCCTCACCACTGCTCTGCTACCCTGACCCAGAACATTATGGGAGTCCTCTGTTACAGATGCTTGGCTGTGACCATGGCTCTTCTCTCACCAACCCGCCCCCAGTCATGTGACTCTAAGAGGGAAGTGCCTAGTATTTGGTGCATTTTAAACAGTACATTTTAAACAACAATAACAAAAAACATCTTGGGTCAAATTCTGGTCTCAGTTGCATTTTTTAGAAATGAGATAATAATTGGGCCCTTAATCTTTTTTTGTCTCACTGCTCAGTGTTTGACTTCTATCAAAGTGAAAGGGGTGTGTGTGTGTGTGTGTGTACACACACACACTGTCTTTTATAGAAAAGGATCCTAGAATTTTTCATAGTTAATTGCAGGCTATACACAAAACCACAAATAAACTATATAGATTTTAATACATCATTCAGGCGGCATCTGTTGATGTACAGTGAAAGAGGGTACAATGTCCTCATTTCGGAGAACCATTGAGCACAAAAAAAATTAGTCAGGGCATACAGTTGTTTTATTAGAGAGGGGTTAGAAGTCATAGGCCAGAAGGAACAAACAGAGTTAAAATGAGATTTGAAAATTATCAGAGAGACAATTAGGTCCAGGGAAGCTCCCATACTGCCTCAGTCACCTGTAGCAGAAGAATCTTCAATGCACAGAAAAGAGGGATGGGATACTTGGGGAGCAAACAGGATGGGCTGCAAAAAAGTCAGAAAGACAAGGGTGGCTAATCTTCAGAGAATATTAATAAGTTAATGAAGTCTGATGCTTGTAACAAAGCCTATTTTTCTATCTGCTCATAGTGCAAACTCACCCTGGGAGCTGAAAGTCAATTATGTTCTTCACCAGTAATAAAAATTTCACATTTTGGAACATCATTAACCGTTACGTTGATGCATGTGCCAGAATAAAATGTGCCTCGCTCTCTTACAGTAGTATTGGCTGCCCAGTGATAACTGGAGTAAAAATTAGTAAACATTTGTGTTTATTGCTAAATAAGCAGATATGATTTGGAATACATACAAAGGGAACAGATCTGTTGAATAACAGGGTACATTTTGTCACCCTTTCAGTGTTAACCACTCCTTTGTCCCCCCTCCTACATAAAAGTTTCAGGCTTCCTAGCTATCACCTGTCTCGGGCAGAGATTTGCATCAGTCTGTCTCTTGAGACTGGGGGCTTAGGCTTGCAGTCCCTCTGTGCTTCATTCTGATTTCCCCAACAGGTCTGACGGGGTCCAACATCTGTGGCTAACCTTTCTCCAGGGGCTACACCCAGTTACCAATAAACAATTGTAAAGGCCCTAACAAAATATATTTATACTTAAGATAAAAACATTACAGAGTAAACATATAAAAAAAATGTTCCCTTGTGTATCCTAAAAGCTTATCAGAGATCACCCATTGGTCTTGTGGGGCCCAAGTAAGTCAAGGTCTTTCCAACCCTGCCACAAGGATTGGGACCCCCCGGCCCCTTGGGCAGAAAGTTCTGTCTGTTTGTTTGCTGAATCAAAAGAAGGCCTTATGTTTGTTTAAACTCAGCCTTTTATATTAAAAGTGTCTTCTTTGTCCCTTGGTCTCTGATACCTTTTTGGAGTTGTTTACAGTTTCAACAACTAGCCTTAATCAGCCCCCACAGTTTTTAGTTCCTGGAGGAGTTGTGGTAAACGTCCCCCTCCTGGAGTTGCATATAGTCCTTGGCTAACAATGGTACATAAACCATTCACAAACTTAATACAATATGTTCACCCAAAGATATTGCATGGTCTTGCAATATCTGTCACACCTTTTACATAGTTCCCCCCCCCCCCGAATATGACTGTACTTTAAATCAACAAGTATTAGCCTTTAAAAAATTATATTGATCTAGTTATGACAGTCAAAATATTTACCACCTTTAATAGTTTGACCATTTCGTATCTCATGTCAGAGCCATGACAGCTATGTTTTTCTCATATTTTAAAAATAGGAGAGAAATGTGAGCATGGATCCCCAAAATACTTAAATGCTTGTGAAAATCATGATAATTTCTTCAAGATCCGCACAATTTATTTCTGTGTTCAGTGTTTCCACTGAAAAATTTGCTACCAAATAATTATATTATTACTAAATTTATCTGGGTTTCTCCAATTATATTGAATTTCTGACTGCCAGCAAAATGTTGGATGATCATCTGATACCAATAGCGTCCAAGCTATGGCTGCCAATTTGTTATCCAAATACCTCATAGATTTGGAGACCGAATAAACAGATGAATTTATTTGTTCAGTTCTGTGACTCCTGTCATAAACAATAAAGATGAGCACTCTTATTCCAAGCTGTCTCACGGATTTAAAAATAATACCACTTCTGCCCTGGGACAGGCTAGTTGGAATAGGTTATTGCTACTATCAGATGAATGATTTGTTTCAACTGTTGAATTTTGCGGGTATTGTCAGCGTATTTCCAGCCTCAAATAAAAGAAAGAAGTAGATTCTGAAATCATCCAATTTGTTACCTCAAGAAGCAACTCTGCTTGTTCCACTTGTAAATATGTCCTGAAAAAATACATACCCGTGTTTCCCCGAAAATAAGACACTGTCTTATATTAATTTTTGCTCCCAAAGATGCGCTAGGTCTTATTTTCAGGGGAGGTCTTATTTTTCCTGGAGCTTCGGGGCCTTATATTCTGGGGTGGCCTTATTATCGGGGAGGTCTTATTTTCGGGGGATGTCTTATATTACAGCGAGAGGCAAAACTGGAAGTAGGTCTTATTTTCGGGGGATGTCTTATTTTCGGGGAAACAGGGTAGTACCAAAAAATATTGAATTTTCTGTTTAGGTAAGTAATGCCCAGTCATACATGACTATCCAGTTATGTTTCATGGGGAAGGGATTTTGAACATACACCTACATTTTTATATATTGTTGTTTGAGTAATCTTATATTAGCAGTTGAAGTTTAACAAAGGGCCCCACATCTGCTTTAAGGTTTCACAGAAGTTTAATCTCTCCCTTGAAATAATGCAGAATAAAGCATATAGGCCATGTTATGCCTTGTCCTGCTTGAATTATTGATTCAAACAGTACTTGACAGTATCCCTTTTAATAATAATAATCCTATTCAGTATCTACCTTTTTTGATTTTTCTCCTTCACAAATCCTTTCTGTAATTAAAAAAAATGCAATGCAGTGCATGTCTTCCGTCAGCAATTGTGCACATTTTCTACTAACTTTAGTAAGAGTTGTAACATTAGTACAGGGGGAGGATAGATCTTAAAGTATGAATAATATTGTGTCTGACTTCACTAATAAAAGGATCAACTTTAAATTCAAATTCTCTTTTATGAATTCTCTCTACAGAGTCCCACTGTTGGGAAGCATGTGCCTTGGCACAATGGAACATAGCATTATTTAAAAGCAGTAGCAACTGGGGATACACACGTGTCCTTCACACACAGCTGAATATTTGAAGCAGTAGAAAAAACAGGCTGGATGCCTCTCACCACATATAGCTTAGCAATGGTTTCCCTATACCATAAACTTGTGTAATTTAGAGAATGGCAAGAGAGGGAGCTGTAAAAGCTGTAATTATTGAGAAAACTGGCAAAAATGACCAATGATGATGAACAAATTTTTAAGCTTAGGTATGTAACAAGAACTAGTTTTGAAGTATGGTTACTTTCTGACATTAGTATTTGCTGATCTAGCTTGTAACTGCTGACTGTGGCAGTATGGTAGAGATACCGTAATATTTGATAGGGCATGCTACTTTTGAGTAATTGAATGTATTAAACCATTAAAGTAATACTGTGATGCTACCATAGTCTGTCAAGTTTAGTTTTTTGGTATGATGGTTGAATGCATACATTGAATTCAAGCTAGTTACTCATTAATATTGTGTTGATCAGAAATCGAGAAATGCCTTTTACCAAAAGGAAGAATGATTTTGTCCTGAAAATTCCTTGTACTCCCTCTGGTACATAAACCTCAGTGAAGTATCTTGAAAATATCACTTTATCTCAGTTTTAATTGATTACTTATAAAGCAGTATACAAATTCCTCCTCTCCCCACAAGAAATGTTTGTCATTTTATTGGACTTTCCTTGTTCTTATCATTGTTCAGCAATTCTGAAGACTTGGTGAAAAAATTCCAGAAGCTTCTAGTTTGGAGTAGCAAGTGAAAAAATATGTTGTTGTTCGAGTATATTTTCTTTTTCCTTTCTTACCTTCCTTGAAAAGCTTTGAAGAGTTACAATTTGTTTCTGAGCAGCGTGAGAACCCTTTCAGGCACATGTAAGGAGGCTTGTAGATCACAAAATTTGTTCACAGTTGTAAGAGGAAGAGTTTCTAGATTCATTTTATCTATTTGATTCACTATTTTGCAACTTAAAATTAATTGAACCCATCTGTAGTAATATTTGCAAAAGTTAATAATCAGCTATTCTATCTGTTTAATTATACACTCTTATTTTGTTTTAGTCTGAGTCTCTAAAAACAGAATTTATTTACTTTTAAAGTCTTTATTATGGTTGCACTTATTATTCAAACTTATTGTTCCTTTATTTGCAGAGAGATGCACTGTATAGGCCTACTAAATACCCCGAAAAGTTAAAATCTGTGGACTACAGTATAGAAGTGAGCATGCCAGAATATTTTGAAATCCCTGAAAAACTCTCTATTCCCGTGTCAGCAACAAGCAAAGTTAATTCTAAAGCCTTTTCAGAGGAAGACCATCAGGCTGTGAAAGCAACAGGTAATAAGCAACTTATTATCTGAACTTCAACTGATAACTTAGCATCCTTAAATTGTCTCCTTCTCCCAATTCTTTCCCACTATATCCACAAAGGGTATATCTACGCAACATTTTGGAGTGAGTGGCAGCAAGCCTCTCAACCCAGATGTTCCTCAATGGCCCATCTGATTTTAATAGGTTTTTTTTGGATGGGTGGGGGTTCAGAAGTTCAGAACAAACATTTTCAAAGTTATAAAGCAAAACTTGCATATTTTCTTATAGCGTGGAATACAGACATTTCAAGTGAGATTAGTGCATATGCAGCAACTTACAAGTATTTCAGAAAGTCTAAACACTAAATGCTTTCTTATAAGACTAATACCTGTTTTGAGCAAAACTAACATACAGGTGAACAGGTTTGGTCTCCAGCTTTGTTAGTTCTTAATTAATGCCTGCAGCCTGGGCAAGAACTGGCATCTGGCCTGCCAGCCTCACACTCTCTGCCTTATTGCTTTCTAACTCTTAAGTTTTCCACTGAGATTTTAAATATTTTCCCCATTGCTCAGCATCTTTTGAATTTCAGACTCCCTCTGCTGTTAATTTTTTACAACTTGGAAAATGTGTTACTTACTTTTATAAAACATTTTGAGCAGTTGGTATAGAAATCTTATTTTTCAGTTTGCTGTAATTTGTATGTCATGATATCTGGGCACAGGTATAGTCATGCGTAATAGTAACATGAAACCAGTGCTGTCGTAGCTTTTTGATTCAAGTTTCAGTACATTTCTTGTCATCAGCTCATGCTAGTGAAAGGCAGTTGGGAGCCTTCGAAGGGTTACATTCACATTGTCCTGGAATCTTAAAACTCTGTCTGTCCTGTGAGAAGTGAATATTGTCCACAGACCATTGATCGATTGAGAACTGCTGGCCTAATTAGTCATTAAGATATTACATATGTGCAGCATAGCTCTGACAATTAAATTTCCCTTTTGCCTTTCTTGTCTTAAGAAAACAAAAAGCATAAAACCACAACTGCCCATTCACATTAATATTTACAATATGGTCCAAGTAGGCTTTGAATTTCACTCTTCATTGAGATGTAGCAAGTTTTGCAAGTATAGTTCACTCACTGATGAAGTGAAAAGGATAGGAAAGGAGTGAGTGGCATTGTTGCTGCTGTCATTTTTCTCCAAGGCTATGTTAACTGGATTGCAACACATACAAAAAACAACAACAGATGAGGATAGCAGGAACAGGAAAAAAAAAAAACCTGGAAAGTTAATTTTTAATCTCCTGTATGACTGTGTTCTGTGTGTTTCAATGAGACATGTATACCCTCCCCTACCCAGATTTATCCTAGCAGTAATTCCTGGACCAGACAGGCCAGACTCTGTATTGTGAGGTTACAAAAGAGGAGAGTCCTTGCAAGGCTCTACTAAAATCTAAGGGCCTGATCTGGTGAACAGACCCTTGAAAGCATTGAGACTCTATGCATGAGTAATGATTGGTGAATGTTGGTCTGTTTACAGGAAAGACCCTTAGGCATGATGAACACCTAGTCACCTGATAAATATGCTGATAAATTATTTCTGATAGCGTATTTCTTCTATTCTTAATTTTTACACCAAACCTAGTGAAGGGCCTTAGCACTCAATAAAGACTATTTACATGCAAAGTTTGAAGACTTATTTGCTCAGCCATTTTCAAATTATTGATCAGCAAAGAAAGTCTTCAGATGTTGTATTAGGAACATAGTAATTGACATTCTGGATCAGCCCAGTGGTCCACCAAGTCCAGTGTTCTGTCTCTGACAGTGTCCATTACCAGATGATTCACAAGAAGGTGCAAGAAACTCCAGAGTGGTTAATTAAAGAGCAACCTTCCTATAGGGAAAGTTTTTTTTCCTAACCCTTTGGTTAGAGGTTGGCTTATGTCCTGAAGCAGGGGAGTTCAAAGTATATACGTAGTCGTTCTCCCTCCTACCCGCCCCCCCCCGGCCAAACTTTTCATTCTTCAGTAGCTTTGAAATGTTGAACTAGGTCTTTAAAATTGCATTCTTTTTAGAGTTCCTTGAGGGTAGTGCTAAAACACAAATACTATCAACAATCTTCATCTGTATCTCAAGCTACAATAATACAAATAATAATAATAATAATAAAACTTTCATTCTGCCACTACATAATCTTGTACCTAATAGACTGGTTTATACTTCTCTTATATCCTTTGGAATGGGGAACTTTATATTTCCTGTGCCAAGGTGGCCTTTTTGTTATTTCTTTTGGCTTCTGGAACAGTAAGCGAGGGTATGTCCTATATTCTCTTCTTGAACTTTTATAAAAACAAAGTAGCCTTTTGTCCAGGTCATATGTATTTACCTATAGTGATTTTACAGCTGTTTTTGAACTGATCAATCTCATTGTCATTGTTTTTTCTCTCATAAGCATTAATCTGAAACCTAAATTCACCCTGTATAAATGTGATGTGAAATCATTATCTGGGCATAATAATTCTTGTGGAAGTTCACATAACTTTGTAATTTATGAAGATAAGTGCAAAGGGTGAACTATTGTCATATAATTGGTATGATCTGTATGTGTCCTGCCTCTTTTGTCAGCTGTTCCTGTTATGTTTTAAATGGGAAGTAACCAACAATTGTTTGTCTACATGAGGAAACTGAATGGAATAGCTACTGAGGAATAAGTTATTACACGATAGCTATTCCAGAATATTTGCCTGTGTGGACATTCTATTCCAGAATAGAAGACACTTCATTCCAGAATAATTACTCTGCTTTGGAAGTTCACTAATTTTTCCAAATAAATGTGATTTTATTCTGGAATAGTGTGTCTACATGGGTAGCCATTCCAAAATAGCTGTTCCAGTAAATTTCCTCATATAGACAAGCCCTAAGAAATGAAGTAGTGACATGATTCCACGATACCTGCAGGAGTGACACCATCAAGCTATCAGACAAGGAAAATGGAGTAAATGTCACAACAAATACCTGACTAAAGTAAAGTAAATAGGTAGTCTATGTTTATTTCTCTCTCAAATGTTATTTAAATACCTCTGCATTTACCTGGTTGACTTTCATTTTTTTCAGTACTTGAAGGTTATATTTTCCTAAATTAGCAAAAATGAAAACAGGTTTTGATTGATCTATGGCAGTTCAAAAATAACCATAAATTAAAAGCCACTTGCATTGTAGGCTAGAGACTTGGTACTGTACATATTATGCTTTTGATAGTCATTATTAAGAGGTTGGCATCTATTCAAATATTTAAAATGTTGGTTTCCAGTACTGGCACTAAGCTAAGCCGGGGTGGGGGGACGACTGGCTGCATAAAGTTAAGATAGTGTTGAATACTCAAAATTATTTCTTAGAATTTTACCTTGAATAGAGATTGATGAAAATGTACTGGGTTAAGTCTTATTTTGTTTAAATGTATGGATATGATATATATGGCAGAATGTCTTACATGGGACACATGGCCAATTTCTTTACCAAAAAGTTATGAATTGTCAATATGATTACTGAAAATCTTTGTGATGGGTGCAGAAAATCTTGAAAGATAAAATGGAAATCAAATGTCCCAGGGAATCCCTTGCAAGCCTCTTGACAAGATATATATATATATATATATATATATAAAATGTCACTGCATCTGAAAAGAGCCCTTAGCTTTTATGTGAAGCAGACAACACCTTTTATATAAACCAATTCATCTTGACACCAATTTGACTCTCCATGTTTTTACATACTTTTATGTGTAAATATTTTTACATACTTGTCTTCATGTATTTCACATTGTTATTCATTTGTTGGTATCATTGTGACTTGAGGCTGAAATGAAAAATCATTGAACCAGAGCTGTGGCAATGACAAGAGTCAACTCCAAGTCCATTCAGCCTCTTGAATTTTCAAAGCACCCACTTGGAATTCATTGCATTGTATTATAGAACATTGCTGTTCCAGCACTGTGGCATGTAGGGAATACAAAACTGGCTTTACTATACTGCATGAAAACCCTTTTTTCTTTTGTCTTGTGTCAGAATTTTTTATCTCCTTTGTGTTAAATGTGTTTTTATGTGTAAGTATATATGACCTAATTTAATAAGAAGTATTAACTGTTTATATTTATGTGTCTGTTCTACTGGTATTTATTCTTAAAAAAGAAAAGTTGTTTAATTATTAATTTGATTTTTTGTAATTGAACTGCTACCTGATTATGTGACAATTGATAATCTATTTGATGACGTATTTTGAGATATCCTAAATTACCTGGCTGTTTTGTCTGGTAGAGGTATCTGTCTATACAGAAGTGTCTATAGAAAATGGTCAACTTTTCTGAATGAGAAATGCAATTACTTATAGAATATTAAAAAATAATTTGTATAAGTAGTTACTATAAACACATATTACAACTCTTTCTGAGACATTTTTCTAATTTTTTAGTTAAAATACACTAAAGTTAGGGATAATCATGCAATATAAATATACAAAATTTTCCAGGAAAAAATAGTTAATATTGAGTAACACTGAAATAATCTATATTTACTTCAACCAGAAAAACACTGAAGAGGAGGTTATACTTTTCTTAGAAAACACAAATGTTAATCTAAAAATTCTAAATTAAGTTTGGTATTTGCAAAAATACCAAAAATACTCCAATGTACAAAAAGTCACCCAAACAACCTTAACTCTGCCCCATTAATGGGATCTTGAGAGAAACCAGAAATTGAGAAAATGGTGTCCCTCCATTACACATGTTCTTCTTATTAATGACCACAAAAATGCAAGATATTCATGATCTCCAAGAGAACAGGAACAGACTCCTAGACTACTTTTTCAGCCATCCTCCTGGCTTCCAAATATGGCTTCTTCCTTTCCCCTTGCCGTCTAGTCCAATCTTCTGTTTTCCAGATTACTGCACTTACATCCCAAGTATTCCTTCTCTCACAGTCCCTCCAATTGTGATTGTCTACATCTAACTACCATGCACATTACTGCCCATGAGGCA